ATACCTGTTGGCCAGATTTGTCCTTTTTAGTCAGCAGTTTTTTATTTCAACATGGACTAATAGGGAAAATCTCTGAGTTCCCCATGGATCAGGTAACTTTGCCTTAGATTCCAGGAGAAACATACACTAGGACATATAGTGTTAAAATAAAACACCACAAAGCAAAAGCAATCAGAGTTTAGCTTCTTCTCTCTCCTAGGTCACTGCTAAGCATGATGGGTTTATATTAGTAACACCCAAGCTGTTTCATTTGATGTCTAGTCACCTAGTTGAGGTTGAAAGGGGGCTGAGAGACCATCCTGCCACACACAGAGGAGTGCCTAGGTCTGTGTCTTCCAACTCCATTGAAAAACAGAAAGCCTCCATGCCTAGCTGAATTGGAACCAGGAGCCAGGTCTCCATTCTCCTTGATTTCAACCACATACTGTTGTCCCTTCATCTAGATTCTAAACTACACTGGGGCAAGGATCTTACTTCATCTGATGTCCTTCACACAAGGTGTCATAGACTTGCTTGTCTAGTGAACAAAACACCTACGATTCTTTCATGCTGATACCATTCATCTAGCCAGCCAAAATGGTGCAATAAATTTTGAGTTAAAAGTGGTAACTTCTCTAGCAAACTTTATATTCAATTCCTATTAAAAACATATAAGAAATTAATATCAGAAATTTATAACAAACTTAAAAAACCCAACAACAGAAAAACAAAAATCCATTTAGAAAATGAGCAAAGGACCTGAACATACACAAAGGACCTGGACATATCCCCTTTGGACACTTCTCCAAAGAGGATATATGGATGGCCCATAGACATACACAAAAATTCTCAACAGTTACTAGCCATCAGAGAGATGCAAATTAAAAACACAATGAAATATCACCTCCCAGTGGTCAGAATGGCCATCATTAATAAATCAACAAATAACAAGTGCTGGCGAGGATGCAGAGAAAAGGGAATCCTAGTGCACTGTTGGAGGGAATGCAGGCTGTTGTAGTAACTGTGGAAAGCAGTATGGAGTTACCTCAAAAAATTAAAAATGGAACTGCCTTATGACCCAGTGATTCCACTTCTGGGAATTTATCTGAAGAAACCTGAAACACTAGTTCAAAATAATATATGCACCTCTATGTTTATTGCAATGTTATATATAATAGCCAAGATTTGGAAGCAGCTTGTGTCCATCAGTAGATAAGTGAATAAAAAGTGGTAGTACATTTGCACAAATGGAATACTACTAAGCCATAAAAAACATCTTACCCTTTGGGAAAGCATGAATGGGCTGGAGAGTATGATGCTAACTGAAGTAAGCCAGTCAGAGAAAGACCAACACCATATGATTTAACTCATACGTGGAATCTAATGAACAAACTGAACTAACAAGCCATAGGGATAGACTCATAGAGAGCAGGCTGACAGCTGTCATGGTGGGGCTGGGAGGTGGAGGGATTGAACAAATAAAAAGAGAAAAAACTCATGGACATAAAAGATACTGTGGTGATTGCTAGAGGGAGGTGGGGTGGAAGGAAGTGGAGGAGTGTATAAGGTGTATAAACGGTGATGAACAGAGACTTGACTTTGGTTGGTGAGCACACTATATAGTGTACAGATGATGTTTTGTAGAACTGTGCACCTAAAACGTGCATAATTTTGTTAACCAGTCTTACCTGAATAAATTCAATAAAAAGGAAAAAAATTAAAATGTGTGAAAGGTAATTTGGCTGGTTAAAATAAAAAATTTGGCTAAAATATTGTTTTGCTCCTGCCCCCGGAACTCCAAACTTCTAGCCCATTGGCTGTTTGACATTCACTAATCAATGTTATTTTTTCTAAACAGAAATGAGCTGTATATTCCTTTTAAAACAGTTGGCACAAGCCATAGTCTGATTGTTCCAAAATAATTGTTTCCAGAAACCTTTATTTTTTAATAATTAAATATCTGGAAGGAAGCATCCTTAATTATCTGTTTCCCTGTTGAGTGAGAATAAAATCATATAGTGGTTGTCCCACATTTCTATCCCACTCTTTATTTGAAGGTTATTTTGATTACAGTGACAAGCCAAGTTATTCCAATTAATAAAGAGTAATTCCTTAGAGACTCAAGATGTGTGAGGGCAGCTGAGTCTAAAGCACAAGTTCAGGATGACTGTTGTAGAGGGATGGGGGAGGAGTTAGCATGGCTGTCAAGGAGAGCAAACACAGTTGTCACACTTGTTGGTGGTGTTGAGGGAAATAAGACACTTGCAAGCAAGAGTAATGAAGCAGAATAGCACTCACTTTCCTTTTCCTCCCTGAGTACTGTTTTCTTATTGTTGGGATGGTTCATATATTTGGAGATACATATGAAAATTATTGCACACCATAATTTATTTAGTTGTTCTCTTTAGAAAATCCCCCAAATAATTTGGCCAATGGGCTTCAAACTTTTACACTATTAGCAAAGATACCCCTTTATTACTGTGTTTGAAAAAAATGTAAATGTAATACATGTACACAGCAAAATATCTCAGAAAGTACTGAAGGATATAAAACAAATAGTAGATTGAGCGCGGGCTGTGAACCAAAGCATTGCAGGTTCGATTCCCAGTCAGGGTACATGCCTGGGTTGCAGACCAGGTCCCCAGTGGGGGCTATGTGAGAGGCAACCACACATTGATTCTCTCTCTCTCTCTCTCCCTCCATTCCCCTCTCTAAAAATAAATAAATAAAATCTTAAAAAAATAGTAAAAGTCTTTTTCCTCCTTTCTTGTTGCAGCAAGCTACACTTCCCAAAGATATCCATTGTTAATGCTGTTTTATTTATCTTTCCCCTTTAATGAAAGCATGTGTGTGTGTGTGTGTGTGTGTGTGTGTGTGTGTGTGTATACAGGATGGGGGAAAAGCTGGTTTATAGTTGTCTTTACAGAAAATAAAGTAAATAATACAAGCATAAACAGTGTTTTGAATAATCACAACTGTAAACCTACTTTTGCCCCACCCTATGTATATGTAACATTTTTTTGCAAGTAGTACCATGCTATATATACTGTTCTGCATTCTGATTTTTTTTCACTTAAGAAAATATCTCCTTACCTGTCCACATGGTTTTTCATAGCTGCCATTTTTTATGGATATACCATAATATACTTACCCATTCTTATACTGATAGACATTTAAATTAATTCCTGTTTGGGTCTATTACAAAAAATACCAAAGTGAATCATTCACTTTGTTCATATATACAAATATATCTGTAGCACAAACTCCTAGAAGTATAATTGCAGGTCAAAGGCCATGTGCAATTAAATATTGAATGTATAATTCCACAGCACCCTCTGCAATTATGTCAGTGTTGGAATATTTATTGACTCAGAACACCCTCTACTATAATGGTACTTCCAGTCTTCACTTGGGCAGAAAGACCAGGCTGTCAATGTGTTTGACTCTTAGTGAAAAGGCACAAGCACAGCTTCTCATCTTGTACTCAGGAGACAATAACCAAACATGCCACCCCAAGACAGACCCTGATAATAGTTGACACTCAAAAATATTTGTTGAAGTAATGAATAAACAAATCATGGCAGTGATGATATATAGACAGTATGTATTTTCATCCAGTTATGCTTCAAACATAAATGCATTATTTAAACAAATAAACATTAACCTCAATTTTATCACATTCTTATGCTAATGGAAAAAGCACATAGTTTGAGGTAGGTAAGAAGAAATGCTCAAGGTCTAACAATCAATAGATACTCTAAATGACTGATTATAATTTGTTTCTCCTACTTTCTTTGAATAATATTTGTCATATAGTTATTTCAACCATAATATCATTAATCTTAAATACACGTTTAAAGGTTTTTTATGAATTTCACCCACTTTTTCAGAAAGTTTGTTTTTTAGAATTTGCCAAAGATTCTTCACTTCACTTTCCTCATCTATGAATTGAGGTGTCTGGTTTAGTAGAGGCTCATCAAAGTTCTCCCTTGCTCTAATAGGGAAATCCATCATCATTAAGTTCAAGAAAAGAGTCTGCCTTCAACATCAAAGGGGCTTTGTATTTTAGTTTTTTCACCTCCAAATGAGAATACCTGGTTGCCTTTCTCATATGTGAGGGGCAACCAGGTATTCTCATCAATATATATCAATATATATCAATAATTAGACAGGCTTTTAGCAAAAGGGGACTGTTTTTTTGATAAATAAATAGTTATATTTATCTGCATTCCCCACAGCAAAGGCATTTTTAAGATAATTAGTTTCATTTGCAGTAGCATCACTAATTTGGAAAAGTCATAATTCCAATGGCAATTCTTAAACTTACCTTACTAAACTTATACTTAAAGAGTACTAGAACTTCCTTTTAGTAAATATTAATTTATCTAAGAACATTTATTGAACCTTGACTTTATGGAAGGCTCACATACTTATGTCATCTAATAAGGGGTTAGATAATGGTCATTTTTGTAAACTAAAACAAAATTAAATTCCACAATTTGATTTCTCAAGTTCCAGGTTATTCAGTCAAGTAAAAACCCCAAATTAAAGTTTAACCTTCTTGCATCAGCTTTCAAAGGAGTCCCCATAATTCTGGCACCTGTAATGAATGTTTCCTTGGGACTAAGTTATTCATCAATCAACATGAGATATATTCTGTGTTTTATTTAATCTTAAGAGAGTCTTATTCAGTGAGATCAACACTAATTTCTTTTTTTCAAACATTTTTATTGTTGTTCAAGTACAGTTTTCTGCCTTTTCTCCTCACCCCTTACTAATTTCTGTTTTTTTCCACACTCTTTAACTTGAAATTAATGCATTATTGACACAGAAATTGGAGAGGAAAAAATTATTGGCCTATCTAAATCTATTACCAAACTGATGCAAAGTAGGCTGTTCAAAGTGAGGAGAAATGATTCTAAGTGGACAACAAAGGCACAGGAATAAGGAGTTTATCTTAGTTTCCAGCCCCAGATGTGGGCTTTTCCCACTCCTGACAACACAAATTCAACACACTGTACCTTAAAGATGAATTTGCAGGTGAACTAATATCTTGCTGAGGTGCAAAGAAGGGCAAGTCTCACAGCCCCACTCCTGACTCAGCTCTTACTTGTGAAGGCCACAGGTGCTGTCCTGAAGTCTCATTTTTGTAGCTCTTTATATATGAAGTGGAGGACTTACAGAAATCCCTTGGCCTTTCAAGGTCATTTGAACCAAATTAGTAGCAGAATCAGACAATATCTTTCCAGGGACATTGCAGCCTTCCCTTGTGGTGAGAGATGCTCTAAACATCTCTTGCTACACCACCCACCTCAGGATAGGTGACCTTTTTTTTTTTTGGCAGATCCCATGAGTGCTGTGACTTGGCCTGAAACAAGAGATATGATTTAGAACATGCACTGGATTATACATGTTCCCTGTTCATCTGACACTTGTGAAAAGCTGCTATCTTCCCTTCAATGTGCAAAGGGGACTGGAATGGTGGGACAAGTCCCTCTTGGGTGTAATATTACAGGAAGACTTTGAAAGGCATCTTGTTCTTTGGAGCTACTAATCCTTGAACAAATCTGGTGATGACATGGCATAGTGTGCTCAGTTCTCTCACAGTTGGAGCAGGAATTGACCTCTGATGAGTGGTTTCCAATAAAATGCATCCAAATGAGATCAACTTCTTGCTTTGGAGTGGCTCTTATCCTATTACCAAGGAGAACATTTTGTTCTTTGGAAAAATATTTAGAATACTCACTCCTCTGATAATAAAAATAGCTCTGGTTTTCATCAAATCCTTCCACCATGCTACTAAATGTGTATCCATTACTTGGTTTACTGGGTTATTAATTTATAACTTTGATTATATATGGCAACTCATCTAATATTGATGTTCACATTTTATCTTACTGACATGTTAATATTTAATGTAAATCTATAAAGCTAATTTAATAAGCCTGTTTACTTTAAACTGTATCCCTGCTTTAATAGCAGAACCAAATTTTACAGATGAAATTGTACTTTTAAAAAAGAGAGAGAAGAGTTAATTCTGAAGCCATTGTGAAGAGTACATCCTATAACAAAAACAATAATTTAAAGAGAGAAAACACAATTAAAAAATGTTTCCAAGGAGTACCTTGAAATCAAGAAGCAAAGTTTCATATACAGTGTATATATCCCACTTAAGAAAATGTAGTAAAACAATAACTGGCAGATGACAGATTACTAGATGATAGTTTTTCCTTTTTTCATTTCCTTCCAGCCTCTCTTTTCCCCTTCCCTCCTTTCCCCTCTGTGTGCAACTCCCTGTAGCTCCCTCTCCCTCTCTTCTCTCTTTCCTTTTCCTCCCTGTTTATCACTGATATTCCAAAAGCCATGAAGATTATTTTTATTACATGGGATTCTTCAGTCTTTGTTTAAACCATTAGCAAGATTATAATAGGTTATCAAAATACTTTTTATGTGGTGTTACTCTACTTGGTTTATATCAAGTCTATAAATACCGAATCTGCTAGCATGGAATTTTGCACAATTAATAATTTGCTAAAGTGTTAACAAATTCTAATTCAGTTGAATTTAATTCAACTGAAGTTTTAATCTACAAGTATTTGGATGTTTAATTTTGATCTTACTTTTATATTTAACCTGACTGGGAGAACAGGGACACAGAGACTAGGTCACATGACTAGGAAGTGGCAGAATTGGGATTTGAAGCTCAGCTGTTCAACTCCCAAGCTCTTACTCAAATGAGATGTTCAGTTTCAAGGAAGTGTGTGACTTTGCCTCAAGCCCCAAGTGCTCCCGCCATTCATCCTATTATTGATAAAAGAAGAGGAAAAGAAGAAAAAAAGTGAGAGAACATGTGCTCAGGTCAGACCCTGCAAGACTCCTCCTCTTGGAAGGTGGGACAGGAACAGGAAGAGATGTCTGTAGTTGAGGTAGGGTCCACACAGGGCCCTGCATCCAAATACACACCATGCTCTCCTCAACCATTTTCTTTATATTTTCCCCCTTGGAAATTTTCAAGTATCACCTTCCTCTTTCCTCTCCTGCTCCAAATAGCCCTCACTGCCCCCTTTCTTGCAACTTTCCTTCCTTCCTCCACCAAAACAAGAACTAAAAATGCTTTCTCCTCCCTAGTCACATTTTCTTCAAATCCAGATAATTTATGATTTTCATTTTCTTGCTTAGAGTATGTGTCACTTCTGATTAACAGTATTTACTTCTCATCATTATTACATGTTTTACCAGATCCATTGCTCATTATTCTTCTTCATTCTCCTCATCTTACCCTCCTTGAATTATTTTTCTGATATAAATGTCATTTGTTTATAAGACTTTTTCAACTGTGTCCCAAATTGGGGACTCCTGTTGGTAATGAATTGGTGACAATGACCTTTAGTTAACACTATATATGCCACATATGTGACAGATGAAAGATTAATGTCAACCAGCAAAAGATAAATAAACTCAGTGTTATTTGTCTAAGAACAATGGGCAATAAAAAATTGGCAAAGGACCAAATAGGCAGCTCTAAGAAGAAATTCAGATAATAAATAAATATTTGAAATTCTAATTGAACTTATTATTAAAGAAATACAAAGTATAATAGTGAAAAATGGGTTTTCGGTATTTGATGATAAAGAGTGATGATACCCAGTGTTAGTGAGGATTGGGGAAATAGAAACCCTCATACTATGCTGGTGGGAGCTTAAATTAAAAAGTATATACCATAGTTTTTATTCATTATTGGAAAGTAAGTTATTTTAATATTCTAATGAATAAAAGATTGGTGTAAAGGTTTTACTGGTGGAAAAAATTGAAACACCACAGACATGTTTAGAGATGTTTTCTCTCTCCCGCCATTTCCTCCCACCCTGCCCCTATTGCACGCCTCTCCCTAAATATAACCACTGCTAATAATTTGTTGCCCATCTATCCAGTGCTTTTCAATCATATGCATGCAAAGTGTGTGCATACACACATATATTCTTATTAAATGAACTCATATTACTTAAATAAATATTCAACTTTATTTTGTCACTTAATCTATATGTTTATATTTTTTTCACATCAAGACTTAATAATGGCATTCCTTTTAATAGTTGCAGAGTTTGCCTTGTTATGGTTATAGTGATTGTCAGTGGGATTGGGTATTCTTCCCCCTAGGGTATATCTGGGCAATGTCTAGAAACATATATGGCTGTCATAACTGGAGGGATGTGTGTGCTGCTGACATTTAATGAGTAGAGGTGAGGGATGCTGCTACACATCTTACAATGCACAAAACAGGACCCCACTACAAAAAATTATTGAGTTCAAAAATGAATAGTCCTGAGGTCAAAAATGGGCTACAACATAAAATTTCCCTTATTTCTAGGTATTTAGATTTTGTTAGCCAATTATACATATACTAAACATCTTCATGTACACTGCTCAAGTCAGGGGTAGATCAGTTTTTGTGGGTACTTCAACTTATATAATATTAGAGTCCTCTTTAGAAATATAATTATGAAATGAAAAATATAAAGTTACTGTGGTCTATACAAGTGAGTAGCCTTGAAGATTCAGTAGCTGCACAGTACATGGTTTCTCTTTCAATTATTTCTGTAGGATAGATTCCTAGAGGTAAAAAAAATTGCTGAATCAATGTCATATACTGTTCCCTGCAAAATTCATATTTTGAATTCTAATCTCCAATGTTATGATATTTGGAGGTGGGGTCTTCAGCAGTGATTAGGTCATTAGGGTCATTCAGTCATGTGGATCATTCACTAATTTTATGAATGGGATTAATGCCCTTATAAAATAGAGTGTTCTTACCCCTTCTACCATGTGAGAACACATGCAAAAGAGAGGGTTATCTATGAACCAGGAAGCAGGCCTTTACCAGATATCAGAATCTGACCACACCAGCACCTTGATTTTAGACTTCTAGCCTCTAGAACTGTGATGAACAAATTGTTGTTGTTTACAAGCAGCCCAGTTCATGGTATTTTTGTTATGGCAGCCAGCTGACAAAGACAGACCTTTGTACTTTGAGTAATGACATTAGATTGCCTTCCAAAAAGGCTACAAGTTTTTATTTTACTCTTTTGTAATGAAAATAATCTTTTCCCAGAGGGCAATTTGGCAATATGTATCAACATTTTACTTAGCAAGTTTACATGGGAATCCCATTTATGGAAATTAATCCCATTAAAATGTTTCTTAAGTGGACACAGCTATGTGCATTAGGGTAATCAGAACAGCATTGTTAATCACAACAAAGAATTGGAAAACCAGTTAAAGGCTAACAACAGAACCAATCAGTAATAAAGAATTATGATACAGCCCTGGCTGGCGTAGCTCAGTGGATTGAGCACGGGCTGCGAACCAGGCATCGCAGGTTCGATTCCCAGTCAGGGTACATGCCTAGGTTGCAAGCCATGGCCCCCAGCAACCACACATTGATGTTTCTCTCTCTCTCTCTCTCTCCCTCCTTCTCCCTCCATTCCCTCTCTAAAAATAAATAAAGTCTAAAAAAAACCTTAAAAAAGACGGCTATTTGTTAAAAAAAAGAATTATGATAAAAATTTACAAAGTGCTGATATAGAAAGATTATATTAGACATTTCAAACACACTCACAATTTATGGGGCTTGTTTAAAGGACATAAACTTCAAAATTTAACACTTAGTACTTCATAACTCCCAAATGCCTCTGTGTTTCTTTAGCACTACCTTTTAGCATCCCCAACAGATGAGATTTAGGAAGGGGGTGACAGAGGAAAGATATCATATCAATTTTGGGGTTCTATTTGGTGCCAAAGTCCTTCTTTTTGAGAGGCAAATTCAGGCCACTGGTTTGGCCCAGCAACAAGATCAGGGCCACCCAGCAACAAGAGTAGGCCTGTGAGTAAGAGTCATTGGACATATTTATACAATACGATCCTTATTTCCACTTTGGGGTGTTGGGAACCGCCCTGACTGGTATCAGAGGCTGAAACCCCCACCTAGCTAAGGCTAAGGGAACGCCCTTGGAACCGTAAGCCGGCAAGGAGACAAAAGCTTATCTTCCTGGCAGGAATGCTGCTTCTGCTGCTTTATTCATGACTGAACCCCAAAAAGCTTGGTCGGTTAGCCAAAGACGGGTAAGATTCCCCACGGGGGGAACGACCTAAGCCAGGCACGATCACTTTGGGAGACCCCCAAAAGAAGGACTTGGAGGGCTGCAGCAAAAGGGGGTGATGGACCCTCACTCCTCGGCTTTGACATAGTCTGAGTTCTCAGCGTCTGGGAAAAA